AGGCCAGTGGAGGTGATGGCATCCCAGTGGAACTATTTAAAATCTTAAAAGATGACGCTGTTAAAGTGCTACATTCAATATGCCAACAAGTTTGGAAAACTCAACAGTGGCCAGAGGACAAGAAAAGATCAGTCTACATCCCAGTCCCAAAGAAGGGCAGTGCCAAAGAATGCTCCAACTACCGTACTGAAGACAGGAGGGCCTGGTGTGCTCTGGTCCATGGGGTCACGAAGAATCAGACATGACTAAACGACTAAACAACAACAATTTTTTATGGAGATGTGGCTTCCCCTTATGGAGAAAAGGACTCTCACAGTTCCAATGGTGGCTTCTGCTATGGCAGACACAGAGGGGAAAAATGAGATGCACTCAAAAGCATCCCCTTACTGCTGCTCAAGGAAGTGGGGTTCAAAATCTCTAGAAGCTGACTGTGGCATTTTGAAACTTTTCTCACTGAAAACATTGTGTGGTATTTGCATCTTTCCTTGAGCTCCAACCTCCCAGGCAGCTCATGAGGAAACCACATGCCTTTTCTTTTGTTTTGGAACACAAAGTCCAGCAAAGTGAAGTACAGTGTTGCATTTCTTCTACTTTACTTTGCATTCAAAGTGCATTCTAAGAATTAATACATTTGTAACCTCTCTTTGCTAGGATTATCACACAGCCACTGCAATGCTTTCCAGAGAGTCAGGTAGTCTTAGTGACAAGGTCTAGCTGCTTGGATATTTTGCATGGGTCTCTATGCATTCCTGTTTGCGTAGCAGGTAGCTAGTGATATCTTTAGAGATTTCCAGCTTCCCTATTTTATCTTGCTTTTCACTCCCTTCCACATGAAGCAAAACTGAAGAACACTTCAGCCGGTACTCTTCTATGTCCTCTTTGCTCTACATTCTAGTTTTCCCTTCATTCTAATTGCATAGTTTTCACTGTACACCTCCTTCTCCTCCCTCTGCAAAAATTACACACAGCAGCAAGGCAGGGAAGAGCCTCAAGTGGCCCAAGGAAAAGTCTCCATGCATCTTGGCACCAATGGGAAGACGTTCATGAAATACAGATATGGAGACCAGGTCACAGTGAGGGGGCTTTTAGTAATAAAGGAAAGATGGTATTTGGTCAAGGCTTCTGTGTGGCTTTAATTTTCATTGCAATCATGCTGTTTGGATGATGTTCCTCAAAATTAGTCTTGCATAAATGTAAATTTGACACTCAACCTGTGATCAAACCTTAATCCCCCCAATTTTACCACAGTGGCATGGAACACAGATGGAGAGAATCAGCATCCGTGCTGTGTCATGCCAGAAATCTATGAACTGCACATTACAAACTCTGAGATAGGTCTGAATTCCTAAACCATTTGTAGTCATGTAGTGTAAATATTGCACAAATGTATACTTAAGATATTTTAATGTAAGTACTGTATATCAAGAATATTAAAAGTTGAGACATTAATCTGTGTTCCATACCTTTGGTTCCAGTTGCTACCCCCGACCCTCAGACAAAGAATAAAATGTTGTTGCTCCAGCAATAGTTTTAATGTGGGTTTTCCTTAGCTGAAATTATGTTTTTTAGACTACAGCAGCAATACATACTTCATTATTCAGGCAGAAAAATAGTAAAGGAAGAATGGCATAGCTGTTTATAATTACTCTACTGGGACTCTCCTGCCTTTTCATTTGTTTTGTAAGAGAGGAATGACTGTCTTTCTGTTCTATATTATATTAAAAAATTTTACTCAGTCCATCTCTATTCAGATACTTGGAATATCAAGCTGTGTACCGAAGTAGATGAAACAGCAACTATCCACTTACTATCAAGTCTGTCACCTACGTTTGGACCCTTTGTTCAGCTTTGTCATTTGGACATTTACTTATAGGGCATTAACCCCACAATTTATAGATAAATGTGTATCTGAAGTTTGAAATTGTGTGCTTTGAGGTATCTTTCTTTATAGCCTTTGCGGGGCTCCATTAAAGCTCCTAGGCTTTGAAAAGTATCCTGTGATCAAATATAGTATCCTGCTGCTTGGCTGCTCTAACTCTTCTTACAATGTAATGACTGCTTTCTATGAAAGTTCGCTCGGCAGGAGGAGGCTTTGACTTCAGCAGCTGTGGGAATGAGCAGAGCACCTGCCTGACCTAAGCTCCTGATACACACACACACACACACTCTATAGAAAATCCCCACTCCACCCCCAGTCCAGTGCCCTCCTCTCTGGCAAATTACCGAAATGAGGGGAAAGGGCAACCATCCCATTCTTGGAATCTGATCTCACTTACACAGGTGTCTGCATTAGAGGAACATTAATTTAAGTTCACTTTGTTGTAGTACCTGAGAACAGATATTCACCCCAGGAAGAGTGAGCTACAAGACCCAGAAGTATGTTTCCTTCCTGAGAAATTGTAAAAAAAAATCCTGTCTACAACAAGAGCTATGATTTGGAAGCTTAAAGGGCAGTAAAGATTCCTCCAGATAACGGCAGGTATTTGTCTACCCCATTCTGTTGCTTGCCCTTATTTAGGGGTACTCCAAAGATATATAAACTCACAAGTTATGTCCTGTCAAGTCAGAACTGACTTATAACAACCCTAATAAGGATCTCAGTAATACAACAACAATAACAACAATTTATATTGCACTCTACATCAGAGGTAAGAGCACAATATGAATAAATATAAATAAAGGCAAATGAGATATTCAAGGAGAGGTTTTACCAGTTCTACACCCCCGGTGAGTATCCATGGCTGAGCAAGGATTTGAACCTAGGCCACCTGAGTCCTGGTCCATCATCTTATCCATTACACCATCTATCCTCAAATAGATGGCTAGAAACCCTATTTACTCTGTTCTGAGGGGCAGAGCACTGATGCTTGGAATCTCAGGAATCTAAAGAGTTATTAATTAGGATATCTCAAACATGCCGCATTTAACAGTAGAGAAAACTGGCATAATGTATTAAGGTTGTTCACAAGTCCAATGAACAAAGCAAGTCAGATTTTCTGTAACTAGTTATAACTGAGGCTGCTCTCACACCAAGGACATGTTCCCCTGCTCTAATAATACTGTCCATACCCTTGTTGTACTGAATCATTGTCACATGGTATATATAGCTGAACAAATGTCCCAATGTTTTTTTCCTTCTCTTTGAATCGTTATGGCCAGTTACACCACGGTACCAATTTATTTTCTGTTTTCTGGGGCACTAATAGAATTGAAAAATAGAATGTTTTTAGTTTTTATTTCAACGACATCCTGATACGTTGGTTAGGGGTTCTTGTTTGGTAAAATTTCTTCTGTTGTTCTGGCACCTCTGGAAGAACTGCATTGCTGTCAATGGACCTGGCACTCCCATCCAGGGCTGTGTTGTTTGTCAGATAGTTGGTGTGGTGAGGCAACACTTACCAATGCCCTAGCATACTTGGCCATTGACATATGTAAGTTTCCCTGCCTATCGACATACTGGCTGTGAAAAAAATGTAAAAAAAAAATATAGCAAGGCAGCCACCTTCCCTGATGACATGCTTTGGAAAAGAATAAATAGTGTTGTGCACACATATCATACCACTAAGGAATATATCAAAATGCCGTTGGAACAAAATAACAGAAGCCTCCTGGCGAGGGGGGAATAAACCACAGTTACACCTCTGGCCAGGTAAATGATTTGATAATGGCTGCGTGTCATGTGACCAGAATTTTTTATGATCTAACAAAGGTATAACTAGGGAACATTTGTCTTATGTGATCATGCCCTAACTTTAGAAAGAAATTTGGAGGATTTATTCTTTTCAAGTAATGCTGACTTTCAAAGGCTAAGAAATAAAGGCTGACAAGGTAAGCTTCTGTTTACCAGGACCCGTTTACCAGATTAATGAAACAGTCATCATTAGTTAAAAGAGGTATATGTGGGTATTCAGAAAAAACATAGGAAATTTAAAAGCAGTATCACAGTATAAATTAATAAATCTAATAAATTAAAAGTGATATAATACAAAGTGCCATTGTCACCTCATGTTTGAACAGAGACCAGAAGTGGTCTTTCAAAAATTCCTTACATGTTCACTTTCATATGGCTCCAGATAAATTTTCACACTTCTTGACAGTTCCCAAATTATATATTGCTTCAGATAAGTGATCTTAATTCTTCTATCCATGTTTTCTATTAGGTACATACTGTGAATAAATGGTTCCTTCTTAGTAATCACTTTCACAGTAGTTACATTTTGTCAAAAAGCAAAATATAGCTAATGTGTCAGAGCCATCTGCTTGTTTCACTTGATAAAGTTTAGCGTCAAGATGTATTCTCTGAGTCCTGAGTAAATACTCAACTTACTGTAAAGACCCACTAGAGGTTAATTTATTTTACCGGATATATTGTGCTCAGGCATACAGAGCTGAACTGAAAATTAATGATTCCATTTATACATTGGGGGTGGTGGTTCTGTGTTATGTTTAAGAGAAATTAAAGTTTTGTTGAGAATGAACTTTTCCCTCCATGAAAAATATCTAATAGAACTACTTAATCGAAATGATCACTGTGCTTGTTCTCCTCAAATTTCTTGTTTCTTGCTTGCTTTGCATAGGAAGGAGTTGCAGGAGCTGCAGAATTGCTACAAACAAAACACTGAACATGCAGCACAGCAGGCAGAGCTGATCCAGCAGCTCCAGGCTCTCAATATGGATACTCAAAAAGTCTTGAGAACTCAGGAAGATGCTCACACAGCTGAAACAATATCATATCAAAAGGTATGCAACCTCTCCCATTAAAATATATTTTCTTCTACACTAGTACATTGCTGTATAGGAATATGTTTTTCACAAGAATTGCAGTATAGTGGATGCCCAGGGCAAGTAGTAACGCTGCCTCAGTCAACAGCTGAGCAACAAATGGCATGTTCCATTGATGTCTGTTGTACTGCCATTACTGCACTGTTCTAGGTGCACTCTCACTTCTTTACAGCTAGTAAAGGAAATCTGGATAAATTTGCTGTACTGTAGTGAGACAGGAAAACATAGCACAGTGGAATTGCAGGTGTACACATAATGAATTCATGTGAATTCTGTTGATTTAGGGTTTATGACAGTGGTTCTCAACCTTGGGTTCCCAGATGTTCTTTGACTAGTAGACTCCCAGAAGTCTTTACTACTAGCTGTACTGATCAGGATTTCTGGGAGTTGTAGTCCAAGAACTTTGGACTTCCAGTCTCACCCATTGATTGGTACTATGGCTTCTAGTCAAAATACTTCACGGTTGCAAAGAAGGACGGTGGACTACGTCCTATTCTTGATTTGAGACATCTTAATAATTTCATTTGACCCCGTAAATTCCAAATGCTTACACTGGACACTATTATCCCCTTGCTTTCACAAGGAGACTGTTTTATCATAATTGACTTACAGGATGCCTACTTCCATATCTTGATACATCCTTCTCATCAAAAATAGCTTAGGTTCCACTTCAACAACATTGTGTACCAATTTTATTCCCTTCCCTTTGGACTGTCTATGGCCCCAAGAACCTTTATGAAGTGTATGGCACCAATTGCAGCCTTCCTACGCCTTCAGGGCATAAACATCTACCCCTGCATCGATGACTGGCTCATCGTCTCGACATCATACCTTAATGCCATGGCAGCAAGAGATACCCACAAGAAAGAATTCTGAAAATACGCAGAGCAATTACACCCTTTCGACCTCAAGGGAAGGTGTCTGCCCACCACGCACAACACCTTCTTGGGCTATGGCCTCAACAACGTCGGTAATACAGCATGCAAGGCTCAAAATGAGAGCACGCCAGGCTTGGCTCCTGTCCCTGTTCGACCCCATAACAGACCTGCCATCCAGAAAACTAACTGTTACTCAAGAACTAGCAGAACAACTCCAATGGTGGAGTTACCTCCCAAACCTTCTGATTGGACAACCTTTCTCCCCTCTTCAGCCAATGGTACAGGTTACGACTGATGCCAGCCCCTTGGGATGGGGAGCACACTGCCTTCATCAAAAGGTCCACGACCTGTGGTCAAAATGAGAACAAATTCTTCACAACAACCACCTAGAACTGCTGGTGATCATCAGAGCATTGCATGTCTTTCTCCCTCTCATCAAGGGTCAGGTTGCTCAACTCGCAATGGACAACATGACACTGGTATATTATGTCAAGAAGCAGGGAGGTACCCATTCCCCCTTTGGTACCTTGCTGTCGATCTATGGGAGTGGTGTTATCAGAACCACATCTTCCCCACAGCAGTACACATTTCGACAGAAGACAACTTTGTGGCAGATCATCTCAATTGCCTGCCCTCCGGGACACACGAATGGTCTCTGAATGACACCGTATTCCATCAACTCTGTCTCTGTTGGGGCATGCCCACTATCGACCTTGCATCAAGGACAAACAGCAAGTGCACAATCTTTTGCTCCCAAACTGGAGTGGACACCAATTCCATAGGAGATGCATTCATGGTGGACTGGTCCAGGGACTTCCTCTACCTGTTCCCTCTGATACCGCTCATTCAAAGGGTGATCATTCGGCTCCAACAATCCAGAGTGAATGCGATCTTCATAGCCCCGAAATGGCCCAGACAAACATGGTTTACTCACCTCATATCAATGTTGACAGACTCATTCCGTCTTTCTCTACTGCCGAATCTCCTCACACTCAACCAAGGGATGATCCACCATCCAAACCTGATGTCCCTGAGTCTCACGGCCTGGAGGATACTCCTGCGTTCAGGACTATTTTAGACCAAGCCCGTAAACTGTCGACCCGAGCAGTATATGAAAATAAATGGAAATCATTCATCGAATATAGAACAGAAAACAACTTACCTGTCATTCCTGTTTCCTTGAAGACTTTACTTTCCTTCCTTCTCCATCTCTTCGATTCAGGATTGTCTTTCTCCTCCCTAAAGTATATATATCTGCCATTGTTGCCCATCAACCAGACAACTGCGAGATTGTTTTCCCACCCTACGGTTAAGAAATTCCTTAAAGGACTCAACAACATCTGTCATCCACTTCAACATATTGTACCTCAGTGGTCCCTCCTGCTGGTCCTCAATGTATTAATGTGTCCACCCTTCGAGCCTATGTCATCTTCGAACCTGAAACTACTTACCTTCAAAACAGTATTCTTTGTTGCTATCACCTCTGCCAAATGGGCTAGTGAACTTGTTGCTCTCCAAGCCAACCCGCCTTTCACCCAGTTTCACCCTGATAAGGTGACTTTATACCTTGATGTTTCCTTTTTACCTAAAGTTGTGTCTGATTTCCACATCAATCAACCCATAGTATTACCATCTTTCTTTAAGTCCCCAACATCTCCATTAGAGCACATGTTCCACACCATCGATGTAAGAAGAGCTCTTGCTTTCTCTTTAGACAGGACAAACAGCCTCAGAAAGACTAATAAACTGTTTGCTTTCATGGCCCTCATAAGGGCACCCCTGCTTCTTCTCAATCTATCTCAAGGTGGATAGTTCAAACTATCCTACCAAATGTCAGGGAAAACACCTCCCAAACATCTGACAGCTCATTCCACCAAAGCTCTGTCCACTTTGGTTGCTTTCCATTGTGGAACTGAGATCCTTGATATATGTCGTGCTGCAACATGGTCCACACCATTGACCTTTGTGAAGCAATACCGACTAGATGTCAGAGTGCGCCGTGATGCTTCATTTGGCAGAACTGTGCTGACATCTCTCCTACCGTGATGTCCTACCTACTAGTAAGTGAAGCTTGCTAGTCACCAATATGTGTGCATTCACAGAGGCCACGAAGAAGGTTACCTACCTGCAACCATAGCTCTTTGAGTGGTCCTCTGTGAATTCACACTACCCACCCATCCTCCCCTCTGTCCATCACAGGTATTTCAATTTAATTATTGCATAAACCCTTTCCCGGCGGACAAATATTGGGAACTGAGAGGAGTGGTGGGTGGGAGGAGGATGTACCTCGTGGGGGAATCACACCATAAAATTGTTACTTTTAGCTCTAGAATCTTCCAATAACGTCAGCGCAGGCACAGACAAGACCCATATGTGTGAATTCACAGAGGACCACTAGAAGAACTATGGTTACAGGTAGGTAACCTCTTTATTTTAAACTGCAAGGTTGGTGGGAGCTGGGGCAAGATATAGAAGCTCACTTTATCACATGGATTCTAACCACAACAACACCCACATCTTGGAGAGTACTTAGAGGTGGTTTAATTATTCTCTTATTCTGGGGGCATCCTGAGATTGTGCTCCCTTATCCAAAGCTACACAGGGTGACTCCTCTGGGATGTCCAGATCAACCTCCCAATCTCTGGCTCCACAGCTCGATACCTATCTCCCTGAGCTGAATTTACAGTCTTTTTCGAATTGGGAATATTGGTTGAATTGTGATATACAAAGACATTTCAGGGTTCTGCAACCTTTTCCATTGCATCTATATAGAGATAAAAACATCAGACCCTCAGAAAATAATGTTTAAGAGATGAAACAAATGTTCAACCTGTGGAAAATAAATATCCAGTCTAGAAAGATCCAGAACAATGACTGAAGTCCTAAAAAGAAGATCTCAGTAAGTGTAAGTACTGGGGGGTGGGGGAGGTGAAAAGAGAGAGAGAGAGAGAGAGAGAGAGAGAGAAGTAAACTTCTTCTGAAAAACTCCTGTTGGAAGAAGGAGGGGTGTTGGCTAATGATGACACCTACCGAAGCTGAAAGATGGCCGAATTAAGCCATAATTCTACTCCCTAGGTCATTAAGGGATGAAAGGGAGAGAGAGAATAAAAGAGCAATAAAATATACAGTGTGGCTGATAAGAACTGAGTAATGAGTTTGGGTTTGGTAGATGCTTAGAGAAAACGAAAGTAACCTCCTTGGAAGAAGGAGGGGATGACTGAAACTGGATCTGCTTAAAGCAGAAAGTTGTTTGAATCTGGCTTCTGAGTTTTGAAACATAATCGGGCCAGCAAACCAACCCCCTATTAGTTCACTAAGGGAGAGAAACAAACTGAAGGAGAAAAGCAGTGGTGATTATTTGCAGTTGCAACAACAATTTTTAGAGGCTTCAGAACGAAGTCCTTCTTTTCTGGTGTCACTATTAAATCAGGAGACAGAAATCAGGAGAGAGAAATAAATGGCATGTTCAATTGACTGGGTTTAAAACAAGATGACTCTATTAGTTTTGTCACACAAATTACAATGATAAAAACATTTGGAAAGAGGCAGAAGCGCACCCTCTGACCTAATTTCATCAGCTAAGTATTTGGGGAGGGGGAGAGAAAAAAAAGGTGTGTCTAAAGTGGATTTTATGAGAGACACTTGAGCTCCATCTGGTGCTTAATCTATTAAAAATACACCACAATTCATTTAATACCTTATAACAGCGATGGTGAACCTATGGCACACGTGCCACAGCTGGCACATAGAGCCCTTTCTGCGGATACGCGATCCATAAATCGCTGGATTGCTAATCCCCCGCAACAAAACCTCAGGAGGCGGCTGCAGCCGCGGTGCTAGCACTTTGAAAGGTGGCAGGCCAAGATCTGGAGCAGCTGGCGCTGTTGGTGGATCCAGAGTGGGGTCTCCGTGCCCAGGATTCCCCCTTCCACCACCTGCCACCTGCTGTCGTTGTTCCCCCCCCCCGGTTTGGGCACTGGGGTTCAAAAAGGTTTGCTACCACTGCCCTATAATCTATATATGGTTGGGAATTTTGGCAAGTTCAAAGCTGCTGAAAGTGGCCTTTGTTGGAATATAACA